TTCCGGAGCCTCCCCGGCCACGCTCGGCCCCTTCCGCCCCCGCTTGCGCCTCGCGCGAGGAGAATGAAAGCAACGCGAAGGAGGGGCGGTGGCTGGCCCAAGAGAAAGCACTTCCGGGTCGGAGGTCGGGACAGCCTACCGCCCCTCGGTGATCTACTATGCTACAGGCCGTTGCTGGGCCCTCGTGCTCCGCCAGCCGTTGGCCCGCGCCCCGAGCAGGCACCCTGCACCCATAGCCCTCCGAAGGGCGCCCGCCCAGGCCTGACCCAGCGCGGCAGGGAAACAACACCCGCCCTGTAGGCTGTCGTGTGCCGGGGCCTATCCGCCCCGCCGGCTCCCGGACCGCCACGGCCGCTCACGTAAATCAGTCCCTGCCTGCCCCGCCACACAGCCTGGCACGGGGGGAACCCGCGCTTGGCCGCGGGACGCGTGGCTCAGCTGTGATCTGGCCTGCGCCGAAGGCAGCAGGGCTTGTTACTGCCACAGGGCAGGCTCCCCGCTGCGGGGAGGTGGCAGCACCAGTGAAGTGCGGGGCCTTCCCCACAGTACTGCACTTCTCTGGTGCAAAACGTGCTAAAAATCACCAAGCCCAAATCACAGCCCGCAGAACAAGGAAGCGTGGCAGGGGGGTTGGCCACAGCACCTCCAGAATCAACAAGCCACCCCACTTCCTTCATATCACCCAATCCATTTTAAAAATCAGATTTTTTAATGTGCTTTTCTTGGTGTATATCTGTCTGGATGTGCCAGAGGACCCAGCTCTGTAGCTGTTCTCCCCAAACCACAAGACCTGGAAACAGCAGCTCCCTTTCAATAGTGAGACACAATTTTGTCTCAAGGGCCCTTTATCAGTCACCTCAAGAATGTTTCCTGACCCGCAGGGTGACACACCTATCCTGCCTCATGCCCCCCCTTCCATTTGTCTGTGTCCTGTGCAAGAGCCCTCATGGACTGCATTGCAGGTATTGAATGGTGTTCTGCAAATACAACATGGGGCCAAAATACTCAGAGAACAGCTGATTAACATACAGGAGTCTACTGGCACAGAAAAGAGGGATGGCCATGGATAACTGAAGGCAGCATGTCAGGAGAAGATTGCTAACAAACGGATGCAGCTTCACAACAGGAGGGAAACAAAGCTAGCTTTTGGGTAGGGTCTGATGAGTATGCCCAGGTTTGCAGGATGCAGTTGTCAGTGATAGGAAGATCTGGGCCTAAAACCTGCCAGGCCTAAAACCAAGTTGCTATCTCCTTTTTCCCCCCATCCCTGGAGGGCTGTAGTTTCATGAGCAACAGCCATCCCCAAGGCCAGACATGTGATGGTGGGGCAGGGGAAGAACATGTCAGCAATGGGGTAGGGGGTAAGTCTGTCCTGTTTCCTGAACAGCAATGCCAGACATTGATGGGGCATTGATCCCACCACCCTCTTATCCACGTCCACAGCAACTGAAGCAGGTGAGGAGGATGCTGTGGGGTGTAGTCAACTGTCTTAGGGATGAGAGAGGTTTTGCTGAGGTGACAGGGGTAAAGGCTTTAGGTTCATGGAGGCCCTGGCCTGAGTATTCAACATCCCATGCTCTGAGCCCAGTGTCTTGTGCCTGGCTGAGCCTTTCCTAGATGGATGCAAAGTCAGCAAGGCTTGAAGAATCCACCTCTTCCCCATATGATTGGTTCCCAGGGTGATTCACTGCTTCTTTCCCTCACAGTGGGTTTCCCTGGTGACTCATCACCATCATTGCCTCTCTTTCCTCGGGATTTGTCTAGCTCCAACTCCCACAGCTTTTCCTGCTGGCTGCTGAATGGTCTGCTCTGCTAGGATAATACTTGCCCTTGACAGGCAATAATTCTTCCTGCTGGCACTGGAGAGGGAGCATGGGGCCTTAGGCACAGAAGGTGGTTGTGGGTTGGGGCTTGGCCAGGAAGCACTGCCCCCTGCCTCCACTCTTAGCCCATGGCAAGTGGGAGGTAATACACAGTGGCTTTGCCTGCAATGAAAGGTATTGCATTATCCCACTTAAACTTTCATTTTTCATGGGGTAGCAAATCCCCACTTATCTTTTACTGAAGGGGACATCAGTCATGTTTTTATATGAGTTTGTCCAACACCAAGTGCATACCCATCATCCAAGAAACATGCAGATCCCCATACAGTGGCTGATGGCTCCTGGATATGCTGTATATACATACACATGGAACCCACTTGCAACACGAGGTAGAGAGGCTGGGTGTAATTCAGGATTAAGCATGTCTTGATTCAAATGTCCTTCTAATGCCAGTAGTGCATCCTCTGTCAGAAACAGCAGCACATGGGTAGCTGTAGTGTAAGGGAGCATGTGTTCACGGTGGGATGTGTACATTACAGGGGCAGGGAGGACTGCGCCCATGTAAGCACACGATGGTTGTAGCATGAGGGAATGGCTCTGTGCATGCACATACATGCCCACCCAAAACAAAGGTGCACTACACACAGCACGAGGGGTCCACCTCTGACTACACCTGCGTGCTGATAAAGCATGATGCACAAAGCCTTAAGCAAGAGTGGGATGGGGCTGCAAGGTGGGCTTTCATGTGGACTGTTGGGTGGATAATCTGCAGAGAATGAGGGTGAGAGCCATGCCTGGCTCTGCAATGACAGCTGTGCGCGCATTACTGCTTAGCTTACTGAGCCTCGACTCCCAGCCACACTGATCCCACTCCCCTCCCAAAACTGAGACACAACACAGGAGCCCTGGATCCCCCAGTGTGTCAAGTCTAACAGTTAAGATAGGACAGGAAAGACTTGCAGCCATCGACTTTCTCAAGACAGAAAAAAATTGAGGGAGGAAGTAGAAATACATATGCAATCCAAAGAGAGGGTAGGAAGGGATGACAGTGGGAGCTACCAGAAAAGGGTGCATCTCAGTGCCAGTTGAGAGGTCTTTGTATAGCCATTCCCTAACACACCTCACCCCAGAAGCAGGTCCATCTCAGGGTCAAGCAAAGGGCTCCCATACAAATTGGCTCACACACCCCATCCCAGACGCAGCTGTGGCTTTTGTTTTGGGAATGAATTGGGACTTCAGCCTTGCTTATTCCAAATTTTTTTAATTTAAATTCTATTAATAAATTGATTATTATTTTTGTAGTGTTTTCTTCCTTTCTTTTTTTTAAACATAGAGAGAGGGCATGAAATAACAGGCACAGTGGAAAAGAGTCTGTTACACCAAGTAAAAAGGGGTGGCCTGCCAAGCGGCTTCACACACCTCCTTGCACACGCACACATGTGCACACGCACACACTTGGCAGCTCTACGCTGCTGTTGGGGGAAGGGGGGGGTCATGCCCAGTCAAGGAGAAGAGGGAGTTAAATACAATAATGCCCTTGGAGTGGGGCCAGGCAGGGTGTAGGGAGAGATCCTGGGTTGGGGGGTGCGGGCAGGTCAGCAAACACAAGAACCACTGCTCCCTGCAGGGGTTGGTGCTCTCCACCTGGCAGACAACCAAGGCTGTTGGTGCTGCTGGAAAGACAGGCAGCAGAAGGGCAGGAAACTCAAGAGGCCTCACTGGGAAAAGGGCTGTGGCTACTGTGGTCAGGGTCAGAAGGAACATCTCCAAAGGAACCTGACCAGCTGGAGCAATGTGGCTAGAAGGGACAGGACCTGCCCCACCCCCATCCCTTAAGCAGCCTTTGTCCATCCATCTCCCCCAGGCTGGATAAGGGCCAACTCTCCCTGGAAGAGAAGGCTCCTAACCCCATTCCCCACCCTCTGAGCCAGGTAGTGCCCTCATGGAAGCCATCACCTAAAGAACAGATTCCCTGTAGCCTCAACCATCTCCTTCCCAACCAGAGTCCCCTCCCCAACACTTCTGCCTGGACACACCCCAGCTCAAAAAGTGAGCACACAAGCTGACCCTGCCTGAACTGGACGCTCCTACCTGGAGCAGCAGGTGAACCACTAAGGTTGAGGGTGGTGGGATCATGCATAAAAGCTACAGGGGTCCCCATGCTTTTGCCAGTCACATGCTCTCCCGAAGGCTCCTTCATCGCTGGGAGCAGTAGAGAGTCCTGTGTGGTCAAAGAGAAGCAACAGTGGCCCAAGGCCATAGCAAGAAGGGGTGGGTGGGTAAGGAGAACCAAGAGTCCTTCCATTCACCAACCTGCTCTTACCCACTGGACCCCACTCCCTTTCACGAGCCAGAATAGAACCCAGAAGTCCTGGCTCCCTCAATGTGCTCCACCCAGCAGAGAAGGGACAGGGGCAGGACGTGAACTGGAGTCCCTACACTGTGCGTCCTGGGACAGAAATTCAGGGAAGAAGTAAAGGTAAAGATGCCATGAGGATAATGGGAGGGGCAGGGCGGGGAGGGTTATAGTGGCATTTCCTTTCAGCACCTGAAGTGGGTGGCAAATGGCAGCCAGGTAGGGGCAGGGCAGTGGGAGTTCAGAGGGAGTGGTTGCAGCTGGTGGAGAAAGCAGTGGGGTAGAAAGGTCCTACTGCATGGCAGTAGGAGGTGCCAGGGGCCATCATGCTAGAGTGCCAGGGGCAGCAATGGGGCACATGGCACTGGAGAGGCTTGGGGTGCCAGGGGGCCAGCCCCATCATGGCTTGAACCAGTCAATGATTAGGATGGTGGCAAGAGGGCAGTAACCATGGTGGAGTGGAGTGGGGCAGGGCAGGACAGCAGCAAGAGGGACTGAAGCCAACTATAGGGCCCAAGGATACGAGGAAGGTGAGGGTCAGTATCGGGGGGGCCATGGAACAGTGTCACAGGTTGCATGGGGGAGGTTGCAGTGGGGGTGTAGTGGCAGGGGTGGAGCAGGCCATAGGGGGCAGAGGCAGGGACCCATCACCGCTTGAAGCGGTAGGTGATGGGCAGCAGCAGCTTGCTTTTCTTAAGGGCCTGCACCTTTTTGAGGGTCTCGTCATCAAGAGCCAAGAAGCAGCGGCGTGAATACTCCAGCAACCGCTCCTTGGAGGGGTCAAATTCGCCCACCTCAGCCAGCTTCTCAGGTGCCACGATAAGCAGCTCAGCAATGGGTGTGGTCAGCGCCACTGTGTTGCGGTCCACGCGGTGGTGCTCAAAGGCCCGGCTCATGCTCTTTAGCTTCTGGAAGGTGTTCAAAATCTTCTTGTAGCGGCACAGCACCCCATCTGCGTCCTTGACTGAAAAAACAGACAAACAGTTGAGCAGGGGGTGGGGATGAAGGCACTTGGTCAAGTCTTCCATCTCTATATCCCGCCCTGCCAATATCCCTTCCCTATAACTCCCCCTCAAGTAATCCTCTCTTCCCCCTCCCACAGAGGCTCTTTTCCCTCCAGTCTGACCAGCACCTCCCCAGGCCCCAGCCCCTACTCGTCCCCCCCACCCAGCTACCACACAGCACCCTGGGAGCCTCTGTACCCTCCCCCAGCACAACCCTCCTAGCCACCCCCACACCTCCCCCACACACATACAACAAATACCTTGCAGCCACATGTCCCCCATACAAACCCTCAAAGGCCCTCTCCCACCCAAAACCCCCAGCCCAGGTCCCCCATTGTGAGGAAGCCCCTCCTCCTGCCTCTGCTCACCCCTCTGGCGCTCCCGAGTCTTGGGCTTGATGAGGCGCCGCCGGTTGACCCCTCCCTTCTGCTTCTGCTTCTTGCGCTCAGTGGAGCTACCCTCCTCAGTGTTGGCGCTGAGCGAGGAGGCCACACTGTCATTGTCGGTCACCTCCCCATTCCGGCTGTCAGTTGCCTCTGAGCGCCGCAGGGGCTGCTTGCTGCGGCAGTGGTCCTCTGCAGGGAGGAGGGGAGACGAACAGATGGACACTGATTTCCCACAACCCACCCCACACCACAAGTAAGAAGGCCACAGGCGACAGCATACATCATCCTATAGTTTGGTGACAAAGAGGCTGTCTAAGAGGTGTACAGCAGCATGTAAGACCCAAGCATCCTGGCTCCCCAGCCTCCACTCTAACCTACCAGGTGCTTCCAGATCCTTCCAGAGCAAATGAAACCAAGGCACCTTGGCTCCCAATCCCCCTGCTCTAACCCGCAAGACCCCACTGCCCTCCCAGAGCTGGGGACAGGACCCCAGACATCTGACCCTGCTCACCAGCATCCACCTTTGCAGAGGAGATGAACTTGTCGAGTTGGCAGCGCAGGAAGTCACGCTCCTCCTCCAGGTCCTCGATGCGCTTCTGTAGCCATGAGTTGCGCTCGAGGGCCATGTGCAGCTGTGTCTTCATGCTGTTCATCAGTGCCAGGGAGGGCGAGGGCAGCTCGGGCAGCTCTGTGGACACAGCCATGGTGGGCACTAGCTTAATATCCCCAACCTGGGCCATGCACCACTTGTGCCCCGTGGCTCCATCTAGTCACAGCCCACAGGACCTCAGTCCCCACTGACCTCCCCTGGCCCAGCCCCTGCAGGCCTCATGCTGCTGCTACCGATCGTAGGTCCCACACACCACAGGTCTCTCCCAGCCAAGTCCCCACATAGCCAACCTCCGGCTTGATCCTAGTCCCCCTATCTCTGCCCAATCCTGGTTCCACCCCCCCACACTCCAGTCTCTTCAGCTCAGCTCCTCCCCTAACCTTGCCCAGTCCCGAACCCTTCCTCCAGCCCAGCCATTGCAACCCACAACCCACCTCCCCATACCACCTCACTCCCCAGCCCTGACCTTTTAACAGCAGCTCAGAGCTGTCTTCCTAAAATGAACCCCCATCCCAACCCTCAGTCCATTTCCCCAGAGCAGAAGGCCTCACCTTCAAAGTTGTTTTGGGGGGGGCTGAGGCTATATAAGATCTGGGGTTCAATGTGGGGTGTCTCCTCAAAGGGGATGGAAATCTCGTAAGTCTCATCATCCTTCTTCACTGCAAGAACAGGTGCATTCTGGGCCAGGGACCCCAGAACTCAGGCCCCAACTACTCACCCTGAACATTATCCTCTCCAGCTTCCTAGACTACCCAAAACCTGAACCCCAGCCGGGCCAGCCCCACAAACACACCACAGCCCCCCCATACCCTGCCACGGACCTGAAACCCAGCCAAATCAGCCCTCCCCAAACTACCTGCCCCAACTGACAGGGCCTACCCCTGAACCCCCAATCCTCCCCATACATGCACCCCAACCCTAGGTGAAATACCTCCCATTCCTCAGGAGATCCCAAAAAGAGACTGCCAGCCTCAACTCAGAGCTCCCCCCCATCCCAACCACCACCCTCTTCCTCCTAGGAACAGAAACACACCTGCGTCCCATCCTGCAGCACTGAGACAAACCCCTCACCCAGACTCTCCCCACCCCAGCACAGGTTCAGCCCTCCAGTATGAGACAGTCCCCACTGCCACTCAGCTCCCAGGAAGAACCTTGCCCAGACCCCCACACCTGACCGCCTACAGGTTGTCCGCTCGTTCATGGTCCCACCGGCCGGCCCAGTGTCCCGGGCTGGCACAGCCCCTCGTTCCCCTCACAAGACACTGTCAGGCAGAGGAAAAAGGAGAGGTCAGCCCATGCCAGACCCTGCCACAGAAACACTTCTTCTTGACCTGAAGCCACTACATCAGCCACCCTGAACTGCCCCTGACTCTCCCTCCCCCTTCTTCTCCCCCATCACAGCATCCCAATTGTCTCTCCAGTACTCTTGATTCCTTTCTGGCCCTGCAGTCCCTAAAGGCCTCCCAAGCCAGGCCCAGAGCACAACTGGAATGGGATGCAGGGAGCAGATCTTCAGAGACATTAGTTTTGGGAAGAATCTGAGCTGCCCTGTGAAAACATTTGGATCGGACATGTTTCCACGTGGATGGGACAGAGGGGGCCCAAGATTCCCAGAGACCACAGCTGCTGGGCTCCCCACCAGGCAGACAGGACTGGATCCCAGGACCCCATCCTCTCCCTTTCCTGGCTTCTAGCAATTACAGCCCCTTCCACCTGGCCAGCCCCCAACTCCCAAGGAGGTGCCACTGGTGCAGAACAGTGCCTGGGGCACCTTGTGGGGGGAGGAAGGGGGGGCACCTGCCTCAACTTCATGCAAGACGGACCAAGACGTAGGGCCCTCCCAGGACTCGAGTGTCCAGGTTTTCTTTCTTGGAATTTTCCTTGGCCAGAAATTTCCCTGGTTCTTGCTCCGAAGGTTTGTGGGAGTGGAAATGCACAGCATTGACCTCCCCGCCACACCCACACCTGCTCGCCAGGTTACAGTGCCCCAACACCAGGGCAGGCTGAGGCCGTGGGTGTGAGGGGGCTGCAGGCAGGTGCCTGGCAGAACTGCACGCAGTAGTCTAGAGGCATGGGAGAGGCGCAGGATTAGGCAGACAGAGACCTACCTGCAATGGGCTGGTCCCTCGTGTGGGGGCAGCCCTACCCCAGTTTGGGCCCTGAGCCTCGATCCCTGCTGTCCCATCTTGCCAAGAGCTCCTAGCGGCCCGGCCTTGGGGTACGGGACAGACACCGCCAGTCAGGA